TATTTTTAGAATTGCGTGTTTTTATTTTTAGCATTGTGTGTTTTTATTTACAGAATTGCATGTTTCTATTTATAGAATTGCGTGAATCTATTTATGGAATTGCGTGTATCTATTTATAGAATTGCGTGTTTCTATTTATAGAATTGCGTGTATATATTTTTAGAATTGCGTGCTTCTATTTATAGAATTGCGTGTTTCTATTTATAGAATTTCGTGTTTCTATTTATAGAATGGCGTGTTACTATTTTTACAATTGCGTGTTTTTTATACAATTGCGTGTTTCTATTTTTAGAATTGCATGTTTCTATTTTTAGAATTGCCTATTTCTATTTATAGAATAACGTCTTTCTATTGTTACAATTGCACGTTTTTTATTTATAGAAGTGCGTGTTTCTATTTATGGAATTGCGCGTTTCTATTTATAGAATTGCGTGTATGTATTTTTAGAATTGCGTGTTTCTATTTTTAGAGTTGCTTGTTTCTATTTTTAGAATTGCGTGTATCTATTTATAGAATCGCGTGTTTCTATTTAGAGTTGCGTGTTTCTATCGATAGAATTGCGTGTTTCTATTTAGAGAATTGCGTGTTTCTATTGATAGAATTGCGTGTTTCTATTTATAGAATTGAGTGTTTCTATTTTTAGAATTGCATGTTTCTATTTAAAGAATTGCGTTTTTCTATTTTTACAATTGCGTGTTTTTATTTATAGAATTGCGTGTTTCTATTTATAGAAATACGTGTTTCTATTTATAGAATTGCGTGTTTCTATTTTTACAATTGCGTGTTTTTATTTATAGAATTGCGTGTTTCTAATTTTATAAGTGCATTTCTATTTATAGAATTGCGTGTGCGTTTTTCTATTTAAAAAATTGTGTTTCTATTTAAAGAATTTCGTGTTTCTCTATATATATAAATGAGTATATTTATATCTATAAAATATATAGACAAAACTAATGTGACAAGACAGACCGATTAAATTTATAAAATGGAAACGTTAAGATTTATTCAAACCTTTCTTTGTTTGCTTTTAGAAAAAGTAAAAAGTCGAGCGTTGCCCCCGCCCGGCGGTGGCTCTTGTTTAACTTGTTTTGATAAAAATGTATTTCAACTATGATGCTCATAGAGCATAAAGTTGTCTAAGACAAGTTGTCGGCATTTTCATAATAACTATACTTGGCAAAATATATCGGGTCTGAAAGCATTGATGTACAAATTGCCGAGTGAGCGAAGAGACCCAATCTAACTTAAAGTATTTGTATTGAATGCTCTCGATAGACCTTGTTTCTTGAGAAATTTATGGCGTAAAGTGTTGTGCAAAAGATGTACAGTGATGCCCCGTGCTTCATCTCAAATATGCGCCATTTTTCTGATTCCTTTGGATCTTGGTTGAAATACCGTTATTGTTGAAATTTCACGGGATTTTTTATTCAAATACCTTTATTTTTGAAAAACCCTTAAGATCTCCGATTCAAAAGCCGGTAGTGTTCAAATTCCTGGGGATCTTTGATTAAAATACCGTAAGTGTTGAAAATTCCGTTAGATCTTTGATCCAAATACAGTCAATGTAAAATACTTTTTTTGGAAATTTTTATTCAAATATCGTCAATGTTGAAAATTGCGTACCGTTTTAGCTGGTGCTGATGACTTGGTGAATCATACATGTACTTTTCACAACATAAAAACAAGTCTACAACATTCAACTTATATTTTTGTTTGCGAGAGAAAACAGGCAGATGCATCTTGATAACAAGGTGTATTTAAAATCGTTGTGTAATGGCGATCTCTGATAGAAGTGAAAAAATTCCCCTAGTTCATTGTCAAGATTGATTTGTTTTATATTTTTATCGTTTTATTTTATGTTTGTTTCAGCAGCACGAATCTGATTGAATTCATTTGTATATCAGTGTTTTTGTATATTTAACTTTAATTTGCGCTTTATTTCATGTTGATTCGTCTACTTAAACTCAAATTATTAGTATTTAAGTGCGTCACACTTTTGTTTTATTTTACTGCGACGTCGATTATATGGTGACGTCACGTCAATTGATATAATTATATCAAGTTCGTGCCGTTGCTATATATATTGAGAGAAATAAAGAAACTAATGATGTTCGTTATTTGACGATCAGAAAAAAAAATTCGTTCCCGAATAAGAAGTTTCATTATTGTCTAAGAGATTTTTGCTGAAGGAGTAAAGCAAGTCTCCAGAGTTGAAGCAAGTCCAAAAGCGCAGCAAGTCTCGAAGTGCAGTTAGTCCAAAAGCGCAGCAAGTTTAGAAGCGCAGCAAGTCCAAAAGTGCAGCATTTCATGAGCACAGCAAGTCCAGGAGCGCAGGAAGTCCAAATGTGCAGCAAGTCTAGCAGCACAGCAAGTCTAGAAGCACAGCAAGTCTAGAAGCACAGCAAGTCCAAAAGCGCTGCAAGTCCTGAAGCACGGCAAAAGCATAAGGACAAGAAAGGCATTAATTCCTCTGTCTAGCAAGTAAGACAAAGTCACCTTTAGTAGTAGACCCACACAAACTAACGTCTGACAAAGTAAAACCGAGTGAAAAATATCAAGTCAACTTTTAGATATAGAGGAAATTTGTTTGTTGTGTAAGATGAAATTTTATTTCATCTCGTGAGCTTTAAAATTTTCTAAATTCAAAAATGGGCACGAGACTGGTGATGAAAGCTGGTTTCACTATTTTACGTAATAATAAGATTTGGGGCAACAAAACAGTTCGTCGGCTATGTATTGCCAAGCGGTTGACAAATGCCCATAAAATATGTAATGTTTCCAGAATACGTTATGTCACAACCACGTATTAAAGAGATGTTGTGTTACGAAATATTGAGGGAAAAAAAATAAAGTTCGTCCTTTGACTAGTGTAAGAGGCCTGGTTTTTTCTGTATGACAACGCTCCTGCACACAAAAGAGCTACTGTAAGTGATTATTTCTTGAGCAAACGAGTGTCCTTTAACACCCACTGTATTCTCCAGACTTGGCACCCTGTGACGTTTTCCCGTTTCCTAGACTAAAGAACAATTTGCAGGCCATCGCTTCAAGAGCAGAAATGAACCTGTCTCGACCATTGTTTACTAATTTAAATGTATATGAGCCGTGTCACGACAAAACCAACATAATGGGTTTGCGACCAGCATGATTTCAGACCAGCCTGCGCATCCGCGCAGTCTGATCAGGATCCATGTTGTTCGCTTACAAACCCTATTTCAAGTAGAGAAACTGATAGCGAACAGCATGGATCCTAATCAGACTGCGCGGATGCGCAGGCTGGTCTGGATCCATGCTGGTCGCAAACTCATTTTGTTGGTTTTGTCGTGACACGGCTCATATTAAGGAGGGCTATATAGAAAAAATGGATGTTAAGCTTCTGAATCTTTGTATCAATTTAGGAGGAAATTATGTCTTATTAATTATGTCTATTGAGAATTGTTTTTTATGCCACATAATTTTGATATTTTACATTATAAAGTTTAATTATATTTTGTTTTGTTCAAGGGTTATAACTGTAACAAACCAATTAAAACGAGAGAGTGACTTACTGATCTTTTAGCGGTAATTGTTAACGAATGATATTAAAATACATGCATCTCGATTTTTTACACAGTGTTTATTGTGTAATAATTAAATAGGAGGTAAGTTTAACACTCAGTTAGGAAAATAAAATGAGCCGCGCCATGACAAAAAAACCATAGTGCATTTGCGACCAGCAAGGATCCAGATCAGCCTCCGCATTCGCGCAGTCTGATCAAGATCTATGCTGTTTGCTTACAAACTCTATTACAAAATAGAGAAACTGATAACAAACAGCATGGGTCCTGAGCGCAGGTTGGTCTGGATCAATGATGGTCGCAAACACACTATATTGGTTTTGTCATGGCGCGGCCCATTAACACTTTATAAAACTTTAATATGTAACTGTCGGCTTTAGATAAGGTCACAAGCAGATTGGTTTCAGATTATTCTACTAATAATTGATTACTTCATTTATCTCTTAAGGTTAATTAAAATAATAGAATAATGATCTCAAATAAAAAGTTCTTTTTTATAACTCTTATCCTTAATATAAAAATTTACTTATTTAATTTTCAAACATAATATCATTTTACAGTTATCAATAAATAAAAGTAAATATAAGGAATCATTTCAAATAAAGTAATAAATAAAAACTATGCTATTTATTATATGCCTCACTGAATATGCAAATGCAAGCCAAATATCAAATATTATTCAATTTTACCCATGAAATATGGTGCTATATCTGTCAAATATATTTCATATTTGTTAAAAATAAATATGAAATGTAAATATGAAAGTGGGTGGAGTCAAAACCTATATTTTTTATACAAAGGGACTTCTTTCGCCAATTTGTTTCAAAAATTTGATAAATAAAAAACAACTTTTGTTGAATTTTGTTTGAAAACTTTCTACAATGATATAAAATGGTTTAACTAAGAAAATAAATCCGAACACCAATATCTTTAATTCAGTCATTAACGCTGTAGAGACGTTTAAAGAGTTGTTTATGTGACATCACAATGTAGCGCTAAATATCGCGTGGAAAACAAGACAATAATTATATTATTGCGCGCTGTACAATTGCAGTTGCGTAGAAAGCAAGGGGGTTCATAACCATTTTTCTTTGATAATGAAATTAAATAAAAAGGTTATTTTTTCGTTTTTCGTGAAATATGGAATATATTTTCACTCAACATGATAAAATGCCACATATTTTCACTCGCCGTCCCGGCTCGTGAAAATATTGTGGAATTTTATCATGTTTCGTGAAAATATATTCCATATTTCACGAAATCGAAAAAATATCATCTTAATATAACAACAATTAGCAATAATACTGAACAAATTGGATGTTAAAATATACAGTTATATCTTAAACAATTATTTATATGCAATACAAATAGCATCTTCAGCTTAAATGTTCATACTGAATTTTCAGTCTGTATTGTATCTGTATTTATGGCTAAATATCTGAAACGTGGCTAAATATCTGAAACGTGGCTAAATATCTGAAACGTGGCTAAATATCTGAAACGTGCGTGGTATCATAAATTCATAACAAGCTTACACACATTATACATGTTTGCATAAAGACGCAGAGAATATAAATGATACTTATAATACAAAAATAAATATGAGTCAAATGTATAAATGTTTGATGAGGAAAACAAAAATTATACTCTAGCTTGTTTTTTATTGCTTCGGTTTCCTTATCAGAATCAAAAACATGCGTTTTGCAGGTTTTGACAACTTAAAAACAAAACAAAGTAAACATTTGTTCAAAAGTTCAACATATCAACTTGCAAAAACCAATGAAAGACTTTGTTACTAAGGCTCATGTATTCAATACTCATGAAAGACATTATTTCTAAGGCTCACGTATAATAAAATTTTATTCAATACTTATTATAATACTTTTCACTGTTTTAAAACTGTTCCATGACAACTGTCGTATGAAAACATCTACGGAAATTTCTAAATCCAAATTTTATTCATTTTCATGTTTTAATATTGCATTCTACTTCAAAACTTTCAATGAACCCAAGATTTCTAATATTTCCCTTTGGGCGTTCCTATGGTATCGATGTTTGACAATTGCATATTTGTTATTTAAATTGCTTTTACCTTGTGCTAAGAAACTTTTTTTTTCATACATGTACAAGTAAAACCTAAAATGGTATTGATCCATGAAGGGCAATTGGATTATTTAAGAAATTGTACGGAGTAAAATACTGATGCAAAGGTTTAATAATACATTATACAACAGCATAAAAAGGCTGCAAAGCGGGATATCAATATTTACACATATTTACATCGTTTCTTTCACAATTTACCAGATTTTTGATAGCTGGTAGGTGATTTAAATCTGGACTGATCATTCTTGAAGTATTTTTACAGTTTCATAAGCATTAGTTACTTCAGAGTGAAGAAAACTCAAATTCTCTTGGTGACAATGTGTGTTTAAAAACGTTATGTCATGGCGATTGCTGTAGGAGAGACACATTTGCTCTAACTCAATCCACTTTAACTGAAATTGAAGAAAGTATGCACAAAGTAAAAAGGATTAAAATAATATATGCCATCTGTTTAAATTATGTTAGCAGAAAAGCATTAAAATATATAGACCTATCGCTCGAATTCCTTCACTGACTTTTTAATGTAAAATAAACAACTTTTTGGTGAACACAGAGGGAAAATATGTTTCGTTTTAAACTGTACCGAATAGGTTAACACACAGTAGTGTCAAAAACGTAATTGTAGGTTTTAAAAGAAAAGACTTAATTTACTTGACTTAGTCTAGTAATAGGAGATGCAGTTTCCAAACATCGATTGTACATTCTCTTATTTGAATTAGACATATTCAGAAGCAGTATCCTAGATTTCAATACATTTTTGCAATACAAGTTTTTTACCAAGAGATGAGCAAAGTACATCTCTTATTCAAATTAGACATATTTAGAAGCAATATCCAACATTTCAATACATGTTTTGCAATACAAGTTTGTTTTTATACTAGGAGATGAGCATAGCATATCTTTAATTAACAATTACTGCATAACTTGATATTTATATGTCATTCAAATATTTCTGAAATTATTAGCATTCATCTAGATAGACATATTTTGTACAAAAAAGCAGAAAAAAATCAATACAATTATTGAAATGTCTAAATGCTTGATTAGCTAACCTTTAATTTGCGCATTTCATCATGTGCTTCGTCGTGCAGTTCCTCTGGACATTCCAGGAATACCTCTTTTATGAGTTGAAAAGCGTCGCCTTGTAGTAATGTTCGATGAACCCCGTTCTCGAAATCCTTAAAAAAGTCCTTACATTTAGTTAAAACTTAAATGTTAATGACATTCAAACATATCATCATTTATTTGGATAAATAATAGCTTCAAAGGATTTAATTATGAAATATCTATCAAACACATGTATAAGCAATTCTGAGATAATATACCACTTTACCATTTTACCAGCCTTTTCGTAGAACAACACATACTTTTAGAACAACACATAGAACAACACATACGTTTTACCATCACATGTGTTGCACGATGCTGCTGATTATCAGAATAGATAGATGTTTTATCTCTAAATTTGTCATCACTAATTAAATTATTTCTCTGTCTTTCATTTACCTGTGCAATATAAATGGCACGTTCGAAGCCTGATATTGACTCTGTCAGAAGTCCTTCAAGGCTGGCTAGCCCATCACACGTCCTTGCCAGATGGTCTTAAATAAATGAAACATTTACAAAACAAAAACAAAACAAAAAACATAAAACAAATAAACAAAATTCAGTTGTAATGATGCGTATAAATAACCTCAAGACATATGTGCCATCAAATTCAAAACAAAATAAAACGCACTAAATTTGTGTTCATGAGATAAGTAGAAAAAAAACATACCGATTTTTGTTTTGCAATTTCTAAGCTCGATAGTTTTCGTACACTTTTTTGATTCATACTCTGCCTTTAATGTCCGCTTTCTTTGAGCCAGTTCCTTCTTATCCCGTGCACTAACTTTAAGGCTTGCAGCAGTACGCTCACAATCATTGGCGTCATCAAAGTTCACGGCCATGCCAATACCTGCCGAGACCAAACCTGCTCCAAGTGAAGCACCCACTGAAAGTCAATTTTGAAAAATATTTTAGCTGTAGCGACTAGACTTCATACTTGTTTAAATGGGGTTCACCTAACGTTATATTGACCAATTAGTCAGTAATCTAAAGTTGGCTTGTTTGGGGCTGACTGAAGGTCATTATAATGTAAGTGTATCACACATACAACATTGTAAGTAAAATATTCTCGGTTTTTTGTTTCATTTGTTAGTTCGTCGATTGATTTGTTTCTATGTTGTTGTTTAATTATGTTTGGTTGTATGTTTTATCTTTTACAGTAAAGACTGTCTTAGTTACCCCCTGTTTATAGCGAAGTTCTGTTTGTAGTGACCATAGTTAGGTGCGCCGAACAGTATTTACAATATAAATGGTCTGTATGTAGCGCCTCCCTGTCTAGTCCGTACAACGACCATGATTAAGTCACCCATTGCGGTATATGAGCCGTACAAAGCGATTTTGCAAGGCTTGAGCTAGGGGGCGACTTGGGCGAAGAAGTCGCCTTCGGATCAGCGACTTCGCCTAAAACAACTTATTTACGCCAATAGACCTGTTAACAATTTGTTTACCTCTCAATACAACCAACTACCGTTACTCCGCTAGTTAAGAACGCGTGTCAACATCAACAAAGTCTAATACACGCCGCAAGGCAAGAGTTCACTATATTATGTATTCATGCGATTGACGAATCAGAACGTGCGTTGTATCTACGACAGTTTGCATTGACCAATCGGCGACACACTTATACACTGTGGCTGTGTGTTGACAATTACACAAAATGGCCACAGATATTCAATCAATTTTCGCCGATTGCATGATTAAAGACACCTGCATATACATAATTGCTGCGGTGTTTTGGTGAGTAAAGATAAACAATGCCCAACGTCTTAAAGGTGTGGTTATGTTCGAAAACTCGATTGTTAAATTCTTTTTCGAGGTACTAATCGGTAGAAATTATGTACAGTTTTGTATCCAATGTTTTATTGATACAGTGATTTCCGTAAAGTTAACAGGCTGATTATACAAAATTAAAATGTCTCTAACATTCTGGCTTGTGGGCAGATTATAGACGATGACCAGCCTGACTCATTGCCAATATGGCAAGTGGTGCTGCTCTGCTGAATATTGTTACCAACATACTCACTACAGGTATACAGTATATGTAAACATTGTGTTTGCTATTGGTATACATTTATGAAAAGAATATTAATAGTAGAATTGTTTTATTTGAAAAGTGTTTCTTATTTCTTTTCTGATTTATTCCTAGCTTATAATTCTTCAGATGACGCCTTATATATCTCCCAACTTCTCCCTAAAGTCTCGAATATATCTAATAATGAAGGGACTGTCCACAGTGACTCCCTGTCTATAATGACCTTTTTTCTTTCTCCCATCGAAGGTCACTGTAAACAGTTTTTACTGTATTTGTAACATTGCGATCTCAATCAGAACAAGAAACTGTTACTGGTTTGAAAAGCATGATGCAATCCACAATGTAATTGGTATGGGTTAAATTTTCATACGTTGCTATATGAGATGTTGCTTTTGCTGTCATAATAATAAAAAACTTTACAAGTACACTTACATGTAAGTGGTGCAAACAATTTTCCTACTGACAGAGATCCATAGCCCCATAACAATCCCTTTTCTTTGTGTTCCTCTAATTTATGTCGAAGACCTTTAGCTCGGTCTTCGAGGTCAACAGCACCGCGTTCCTCATTGTAAGCTTCATCCTCGTATTTTGATATTTCCTTTTGTGTAAGTTGAATCTGCTTATCTAATTCATATACTTCGGTCTCAGCTGCAATGATTTCATTTTCTATTAATTTCATCGCACAACGATTGATACCAACACAATTATTGATGCTCGATTTTATAGAAAAAATTTCGTTTGTGCAAGTACGAAGATCACCTATAAATGCAAGTAACGTTTGTGACAATCTTTCAATATCAACTCTGCTGGGACAAGACACCCGTGAAAGCTTCTCCTTTTCTTTTAATACATCACTTCCGGTAACTGTAAACGCCTTGGTTACGGAATTACAAACCCCCTCTGCTTTCTGGTGAAGTTTATTGATTTCAGTGTTTGTAGATGAATCATTTATATTTCTTGAAAGTTCCTGTAGCTTATCCGGTAAACATCTGATTTTCTGAAAATAAAAAGTGTTCGAGTGTAGTTGAATTGAAATAAACTAAATAAATATTCATTACCCGTCCTGAATGAACATGGCGTGAATTATAACAAAGATCTTTAATTTTTCATATACATATGTAATGTACATATCATATGTTTTGAACATCTCATGTGTATTATAAATCCCGTTTATGTGTCAAATAGGTATACTCTCGCCGCACGAACAAATAGAGAGAAATAACGACAAAATTGTCAATGTTGCAGGCTCGGTTTGATTGAGTCTGTTCCTGAACGGAAACGGAAAATTCAAGTTACCGTCCACGCCCCCTGAATAACTTATCACAATCGTATGTGTTTTTATTTCGATAAAGTGTCAAAAAAGACAGTAATATTCTACACCCTTATCTTAACCATCATTATCAAAAACATCCGTAAAACCACCACCATTATCACCACAATCACCATCACCAACATTACAACAATTTAAAGTATTAAATGATGATACTGAATGTTTAGGGATCTCGAGAATTTTGAAACTTTCCCTGTGACTGACTTCTTTTCCTTTTCACATACATAAATCGGTGCTCAATTTTAACAATCGGAAAAACTCGGCTATTATTCATAATAACTTCAGACTTAATATGTAAACCAAAACAGAGATTGTAATCTTTGATAATCTATAACGAATGTTTTGTTATCTAGGAAAATGAACCTTATTTCTATATTATGAAAATATGTCTCACAATCATAATTCAAAAATGCTCACTGATGTACAAATATAACAAATCCGTACTAGTGTTAGACATTTTGTACTTTCGGTGTCTACATAAATTATATTGGCCGAACTGCATCTAAAATCAGTTTGACTTCATGTAAAAGCAATAGGGAAGAACTAAATTTAAGACAACATTTGGTTGTAATACGAATGTTAATTATCTATCCCTGTATTCGGTCAGTCACACTAGTGAAAGTAACAAAAAAACTTATATATATTATACATGTACCAATAAAATGACCTTTTCGTGACCTTTTCCAGCTTTTATCTCTGCATTACGTCATCGAAATTTAAGCCGTGCCATGACAAAACCCACATAATGCGTTTGCGACCAGCATGGATCCAGACCAGCCTATGCATACATTTTTTTTACTAATTTGTGTAACTATAAACTGATGTAATTAATTAATTAAATAAGAACTCAAAAAAAATAGTTCAAATTTGATAGCCTTTCTTTATTAAGACTGGTAGTATTTAAAGTGAACAAGCAATCGTTTTGATATTTTTGTCAATTATACCTTGCATGAAAATACCATAAACAGTCTTAGATGGATGAACTCTAAGTTTGTTTTGTTTTCGCCATATTCTGAATAAAATGTAAACAATCTGTATATTGTATGAACACCTAATAATATCACGTAATTTTGAACTTGTGTGATAAAGATTTTATTAGGTTTCAAGATTGCTGACCCCTAATGTAATCTATGTTCAACTCTTGTTAATTTATTTTTTATTTTCTGTTGTACCCTTTGTTTATTATTATGACGATGTATTGTGATTATGTTATTTCACTGCCAGAACCTGTTTACATATCTGTTAACTCAATGAATTCATGTGTGCTTGTCTTTTATGTAGTTATGTTTATATGTTCATATGGGTTATACTATTTAGGCGTGGTGAGCATTTTTAAGTAATTTAATAACATTCAGCAGTTTATATGAAAACGCCCCGTTTATTCATATAGTAGAATGAGCCGTTTTTCAATTTATCATACAATTGTTTAATTCATATTAGTTATGACATTTTAAGCATTAAATATATAGAATTACAATTATCAGGTTTTGATTTTGTTTATGTTTCGTAACGATGAGTCATTTTATCTTTCCCTAGACCAATACTATTGGTCTCCTTTGAAAATATTTTGTTCCTGAGAAATAAAGATAAAACAAGACTTATTTATCATCTCCAATTATTTGCTCTTTACTTCGTTTCTCTATGCCTTCCGTATTATAACCCGCAGGCAGACATTTCATATTGAAAAAAAAACAAACAAAACATACATGTATTCTTAAAATTTTGTTTCGTTTATAACGGAAGAACAATATCTGCTGGTCAATTTTTTCTATAATCTGATTCGATAATCACAATCCGTCTGACCTATCAAACGCGTTGATTCATACCAAGGTGCGTGATGCACACAATCGCTATTTGAACGTTCGTGGTGGGTGCACAAAAATGACTTTTTAAATTTGACGAAACGGAAAAAAGTATCACCTTTCTATAAAAGCTAATTTGAAAGAGATGTTGCCGGTTTCACTCAAAGGAAGGGTCGATATACACCCCCCCCCCGCCTGAAATCTCAAAATTGCTTTCATAAAAAAGTATACGCTGTGCCTGTTCTGCTAAAAATTTGTCCGTTACGTATTTTTGGTTATAACAACGTTGTTAGAGTTATATGCCCTTCATATCAAAATTTACTTAAAGATCCTGTACGAGGGGAAGTCAGAAAATATCCGGACTTTTGACTCGTTTTCGAAAACCATTCAACATTTAAAAATAAATCTTTTTACTCTTTTTCAAAATATTCTCCACCTACGTCTACGCACTTTTGCTATCTTCATGGGAGCTTTTGTATTCCCGCTGTGAACCATGACGTAGACCTATGTTTTAGGTACTGTGTAACAGCAGATATCAAAGCCGCCCTGGTCTTAAATTTCTTACCAGCAAGCAATTTTTTCAGTTCTGGAAACAAATAAAAGTCACAGGGGGCAAGGTCTGGGCTATAAGGAGGATGAGACAACAATTGCCATTTGTAAGAATTGATAACCTCCACTGTAGCTCCGGCGGTATGGGAAGGGGCGTTATCGTGAAGAAGAAGGAGGACATTTTTCTGTGCTAACCTGGAACGCATTTGCTTCAGCTTTTTTCTGAGATTTTTCAGAATTACTTCAGAATAGTACTTGGCGGTGACAGTTTGACCTTTTGGCATGAAATGAGTAAGTATCATTCCTCGTAAATCCCAAAAGGCGACAAGCATGACTTTGCCAGCCGAAGGAAACAGCTTAAACTTTTTAGGAGGTGGGGAACCAGCTTGTTTCCACTGCTTTGACTGAGATTTTGTCTCAGGTTCGGAATAATGAACCCACATCTCATCTCCAGTGATAATGCGGTTCAAAAACTTATCACGATTAAAACGTTGACAAAAGCTTTAACATTTGCTACCATTGTTGGGGTCACCGCCTCAGCTGGACTCAGCTGGCCGCCCAGTCCTGGGCACAAACACTTGTTCTGCCTTCACGAAACTGAGAAACCCAGTTGTAGAAGGTTGAACGTGATACACATTTATCAGAAAATCTTTTTTTAAGCCTCTGAAAGATTTGGCAGGACTTTTCACCTTCTGCAACCAGAAACTTTATTACTGAGCGTTGTTCCTCTCACAAAGAGTCCATGATAGACGAAACACCTATCATATATCAGAGGGCTAAATACTGTGTATACACAACTATCATTGAAAATAAACTGACCACGTTATTGGCGAATGAATATACTGTCCTATAGTCCGAGCACGATAAACAGAACTTTCGTCATGTCTAAAATTAAAAGCACAGTCCATGAAAAGATTAACATAGGTAAACCACTGGTGATTAACCAAAGTATTTCAATTAAAGATATACAGATAGTATTTGAAGACAATTTAATTTAGACTGACTCTATAGCGTAGTAAGTTTAGCCACCTCTGCAAATGAAATTACTTGTAGGTTCGAAACCTCGGGGAAATTTTTTCTTTTTTTATTCCAGACTCACTGTAAAACACATACATATCAGTTTGACAATGTACACATATGAATATATAACTGTATTAACACAAAGACAAAATGACGCACCAGAATACAAGTCAAAGCAAAGAACGCGAATATCCCGTGCATAAAATATTTCACATATACATGAATAAAACTGAACAAAAGTTTCATTATTGTCTCTGCTTCAAAACTATTCAGACATGTTGAAAAATTTTGAGCCTCGACAAATTATAAAAAAACGTTTTTTTATTTTTTTTCGGCGAGAGAAAGATACAGGAGAGTTGACGATTCCTCTTACTGCGCCATACGACAGAACTGCAGATGTCTGCGGAGTCAGCATCTCCACTGTCAGACGTTGTGTCACTGCAAAACCACAGCTGCCCAAGAAAACCCGTACAGATGTATTGATGCTTTACGATTTCCAGCTCTGTGCCATCCGTCACTCTGTTTATACCATGTACAGTTCAAAAAAATTGCTTCCAACCCTGAGTAACATCAGTAAGGAGCTCGAGACATCAATGAATATAAGCATTTCAAAAACTCAGCTTCGTATGGTTCTGAAGTCTCTAGACTTCCGCTATAGACGATGCAACAGTAACAGGAAGCTGCTTATGGAGAAAACAGATGTCACAATACAACGCATCCGCTATCTGAGGTCAGTGAAAAAGTTCCGAGACGAAGGACGACCAATCGTATTTGTTGATGAAACATTCATTCATTCATCTCACTTCGTCTCGAAATGTTGGCAGGATAAAATCACTGGACTATCAGTACCATTTGGAAAAGGCGACAGGATCATCATACTGCACGCTGGTGACAAAAACGGTTTTGTACCCGCATCTCTTTTAGTATTTAAGGTCAAGTCATCTATTGGCGACTACCATTCACAGATGAATGCTGAAAACTTCCAGAAGTGGCTCCGGGAAATGTTGATTCCTAAGTTTCAGCCACATACTGTTGTGGTCCTGGACAACGCTGGATACCATAATATTCAGATTAAAAACCTGAATATTGTTGTTTTGTTAAGCATTTTATATTGTCACTTTTACATATAATAATGTATTCTACTCGTAATTACATTTTATACAAGCAAGAAAGATTTATATTAGTTAACTTTAAAGGTAAAGAGTGTAATATTGTTTTAGTTATCTATAAAGTAAATGCCTGTATAATAAGTATTTCTTATTTAACTTTCAGATTGACAGATGTCCCACATCTTCT